CCACCTATATAATAGCAAAGGCACACTGACAGGTCCTCTTAATGGAGACATTAGGGGTCTCGAAGACCCCTAAGAGCCGGTCCCGGGCCACAGATGGGCTAGTGGATCCCGGGCTTGAAGGTGAGGGTTCAGGAGGGGGTGGCACTCATGGCTGCGGCGGCACTCAAGGGGGCGGAAGCGAAACACAACATACAAGCGATCGGTGGCTATAGAGTCGCCGATCAGTTGTATGTCAAACAGCCAGTAACGGCTGTAAAGAACGGGCGGGTTTTCTCTGCCCGTGAGCGCGCAGGAAAAAAAAAGCCGTCTAAATTACGGCAACCCGCCCATGTGAGTCTGCTGTCCGTCCGTTTTTTCACAACGGGCGGACGGCAAGCGGTTAAGGAAGTGGAATCATATCTGAAGAAGCAAGGTATATTATACCAGACCACCACACTATACACTCCTGAACAAAATGGTATATCAGAACGGAAAAATCGCACACAATGGCCAGATCCATGCTGTCAGACGCCAACCAACCTAAGAAGTACTGGGGAGAAGCAGTCATGCCTGCAAAATACCTACAGAACAGACTAACACCAAAAGCCATTGAAAGCACCCCATTTGAAATGTAGCATGGATCGAAGCCTAGCCTAGGGCACATTAGAATGTTTATGTAGAGCCGACAATTTACTCAGCACTGTATATAGTGCACATTCACATCTTACACCGCATATATCTTCAAGGAAAAGCAATCCGAATTGGAGAACACAGCCATAGAAGGTATTCTGCTGGGCTATACTGAACAAAGAAAGGGATATAGAATCCTCCAGCCAAAGACTGACAAAGTGACAATAAGCCGCAGGATTTATTTAGATGAGAACCAATCACCAGAAACAATGATTCCGGGAAGTTGTTAAGTGAATTCGCCAAGTGAACCAGCAAAGGAAGCTGAGCAAAGTGAAGCTGCACAGGAATCAGAACAAGAGGTAGAACTCACAATGGATAAGTCAAATTCCATGTTAAATTCTGCTGAACAACCTGAAATTAGAAGATCCACTCAAGCAACAAAGGGAATACCACCCTGCAAGCTGTCATATACTGCTAAGACACATAGCATACTCGAACCAACATCATTTGAAGAAATAGAAAAATTACCAAAATGTGAAGCCAATCAATGGAGAAAGGCAACAGAAAAGAAATAAAATCACTCCAAGAAAATAAAACCTGGACACTCACTGAGCTTCCCCCTGATCGCAGTACTATAGGAAGCAAATAGGCTTTTAAGGTGCAGAAGGAAATATCCACAACTACAAGGCCAGATTAGTTGCCAAGGAATACTCCCAGAAATTCAGAGAAGACTACGATGAAACATTCGCTCCCATCGTAAAACACTCCACCATCAGAACACTCCTTAGCATTGCAGCCAGAAAGGGCATGCAAGTGAACCGCCTAGATGTAAAAAATGCTTTCCTATATGGAGACATTAAGGAAGATCTCTACATGTAGCAACCACCAGGATTCAAACAAGGACACAAGCTCATGTGTAAACATCATGAAAGAATCTACGGACTCAAGCAATCTGCAAGAACGTGGAATGAGAAAGTGAATTTCTCATGTCTTTATTCCAGGAATCAAGAAGACAGATAGATATCCTAATTTACGTTGATGACATTATAACCTGCTTTGAACAAGAAGGGGATTATAGTCAAATAGTTTACAAACTAAAACAAAACTTTGAAATTAAAGAGCTAGGAAACAACAGTCACTATCTGAGAATTCAAATAGAGAGAGAAGAAGATGGGTACTATCTTCTCAATTCAGAGTTGGGAGGAGTCTCAAGTCAGAAAATTGCAGAAATTTTGGAACAATTCCACATGCAAGATGCAAAGGAAGTAAAAACACCTATGGAACCAGGCTACCAAAAGAGCAAGGAAGCAGAAAACTTGGTACTTAACAATGACATGTACCGCAGAGCAATCAGAAAGCTATTATACATTGCCAGTGTGACAAGACCAGACATAGTGGCATCAGTGGGCATACTCGCTAGAACAGTCGCAGCACCCTGTCATCGTGACGAATGCAGTAAAGAGGGTAATACAGTACTTAAAAGGAACAATTTGGCTGAAGCTACGACTACCAGAAACATCCAATTCAAAACTAGTTGGATATGCGGATGCTGATTGGGCTGGAGACTGCACAAATCCACAAGTGGTTACATCTTCCAATACGGGGAAGGAACCATAACTTGGTCTAGCCAAAAGCATACAATACTTTCTTCAACTGAAGCTGTATACATAGCAGCAGCACACGCTTGTCAAGAAGCAATATGAATTCGCCAGCTTTTAATGGACATGGACGTAGACATGTCAGACCCCATCCCATCCCAGTCTTTGAAGATAACCAGGGATCTATAAAGCTGACACAATCAGACAGGGTCAACTCTAGAATCAAGCACATTGATGTGAAGTATCATCTGCTAAGGGACACTCAAGAGCAAGCTATTATCGAGATGCAATATTGCTCATCAGAAGAAATGACTGCGGACGCACTCACCAAGCTATTGCCAAAGGATTGTAAAAGTTTCCTTCAAGAGCAGCTTAACGCCATATAGCAACGCATATGCTGTTTAGAAGGGGTGTTGGAAATACAACAGCATATACTGTAACTATGTATTTTGAGCACTAGATGGCGCTGTAGTGCTATGTTAGTCTCTATGCTTATGCTATGATATATACAGGAAGTTCTATCTTTAAATATGTTTCCTGATAATGCTGTATTCCTGTATAAATACTGTACATGTAATGTTCTGCTAAGCAAGTAAAACTTAGTTCAGTATTCCTCAAGGAAGGTTTGCTCGAATATAAATTAGCAATTGACAGATGAAAATGACAATGTTCGAAGGAGCATGTTGGAAAAATGTTCTTGACCGCATGAATTTCTAACAGTCAATGTGTTTTTTTGTTTGGAAACTCCATTCATTCCAAAATAGAATGTTAAATAAAAGCGAAAATTAAACAACATTTCGAATGTCAATCAGAAAGTTTCTGATGCCAGTATCGAACACTCTGACTCTATTTTTTGTACGAACGTTCATAGAAAGATCTCCCCGTGTATACCTTATTCAATTGTCATCATTGTCTAGGAGAGTCTTAGAACTGACTCCCCTATCTTGTAAACAGCCTTTTCTTACTCTTCACATAAATAAGGTTGTTTTGAGACCTAGACTCTTCTACTTTTCTATGGTTGTGTCCACTTTCCACATTGAAGCTGAACTTCAGGAGAACAGCTAAATTCATAGATAAAACACATATAAGGTAGCTGTTTTACCTGCCAAATGATTCGTATTTCTGCCCCTCCAGTTCTGAGACTTACACAGCCCTGTCTGGAAGGGGAGAAGTCCTGATTTTTCTCTACTGCAGCTTAGTAACATTTACAGGTCTCCTCTCCAACCCCACCCTGTGACAGGACAGTGAAAGCAGAACAGTTCTACTAAGGCGGTGAGCACTTTTTGAGCTTCTGCTTCCTAGGTCTGTAGGGTTACTATCTGGTTTTGTCTTTGGTCCTTACCGTTACCAAATTCTGAAGGGTAGATAGGGATGATTGAATCTGCCTTGGCTTAGTTTGCACACTGTTTTGTGAATTTTGCTTTAAGTTTGACGTTACTGACCTTTGGGGTTAACCCTACGAAAGTCTACGGGAGGTGTTTAGATCTTGTTATTCAATTTGGGCCATTTGTAGGGTAATAAGCAAGCTATTGTGACCTTTGGGGTTAACCCCACGAAAGTCTACGGGAGGTGTTTAGATCTTGTTATTCAATTTGGGCCATTTGTAGGGTAATAAGCAAGCTACTGTCAAACAAAAGGCATGGGAAGCAGGGCACTGTCATGGTGGAGATATACCAATGCCAAAATGGCATTTTGTCCCCCCAGTGACAAATTAATGCTGCATTTTGAGCACCCCAAACTTTAGAAAAAAGCCCTATCAACATAAAATAAAAACCAATAAACCCCCAATGCGAACCCCAAAATACACCCTGTTGTAACCGACAAAATTAACATTGATATCAATGTTCCTTGATATCCTGAACTGAATCAGCATGTGGGTGTACGATATGCAAATTAAGACCATCAAAGGGTTCTTGGGGCAGGGACGCTGATGAATGAAGATTTGCTGGACTGTCTTATCTCCTGGGACGAGTCCTACCCCCTGCCCATATTCACTGCCCATACCTATGTCAGTAATGCAGCACACATGCTGGGATGGAGGCAGGGACATATGATGGAACCTTCTTCCTGCGTGATCATAACCACAAACCCAGCTCACAAGTAGGAACAATGGTGACCTTTGTGATCTCCTGGACAAGACTGGACACTACAATCAAGAATATGATTCGCTGAGACCTGCTGGAGAGGTGTTCTGAGCACAGAGAAAAACCCATGGCATGTGTGACTGAGAGCGAGAATGTGGTTGCTAACTGAAGGATCATAACCTCTATTCCTATCCCTACTGACCCACTCCAAATCCCCTCTCCATTTCCCTTAATTGTAATTAGAATGTATGTATATCCCTGTTTGTAAATAAACCCAACACTTATTTAAGATTCAGTTGCTCATCATTAATTTAGGGCACCCCAAAGCAGAGCACATTCTACACCCCCCTTCAAACAAAAGCCCACTTTTTTTTTTAAAGGGAAGCCTTGAAGCAAAAATCCCTCATTCGGTTGGAATGGCCGCTGCTTGCTTTGCACCAAAGGTCTTGCAGGCAGCACTGTGATCCGTGAAAAATAATTTTCTCTAGTAGCTCAGAAAGATGTTGCCATTGTTTAAAAAATATTTTATGGAATTTTTTGTTTACTTCTGTTTTTTATCACTTTGCTTTGCTATTTATGAGCTAGTATGCAGGCACAGGGGTTAAGAAAACAGCAGCAAAAAGACAGTAAAAAGACTTTAACAGCTGAAAATTCAATTCAAGCCAAACTAATATTCTGGCTGGAGTCCTCTTTTGATAGGCATACCTACCTTCAGCTCATACAGGATACTCTTTTGTTTAAGCTTTATGACCTTCTTATCCTTTATGCAGAAATCCCAGCCTGAAAACACTTTATCTGTATAACTTGACATTGATGAATCCTCTGCAACTAAACTCTGTTTAAAGCCTTGAACAGATCTAAAAAAAAAATGTTAAATGCCATGGTCAATAAAAAACAAAAAGTGCATTTTTGAAAATAAGTTTAGTACATACACAATTACAGCCAAATGGGATGCATCAAAGCATAACAACCAAAGCTCAGCTTTATCTGCATGGTGGGCAGAGAAGTGAAAAGCTGATTTATGATTTTCTGCAATATGTTACTCTGTACCACTAGTTTCTGTATGCTGCTATTAAAAAGAACATATAGACTTTCAGTTTTTATAGATATACATATTATCTGAACACAAGTATTCTTGTATGGTAATATTTTAAAAGTGGTTTTAAAAACTATTTATGCAAATCATTCCTTTTCACTCTATGGCTAACTGAGCATCTAGAACTACTGGTGTATAGAACAGATACAGCCTAATATTATAAAACCATTTGTTCCAAGCTGCATTCCAAGCTGCATACAGCTGTTTAAGTCTTGTTGGCCATCATCAGTGCAGTGTATGAAACCATGGGTAAGGTCTGACAAATGAGAACGTACAACCCAGAAGGCTATCAGGTCAGGTAAATATGAAATTTAATTCATGATTGCGGACATGGTAAACATACGAGCATGGTAAACATACTATCTTCGCAAGTTATGAATGAACAGGAACACTCAGTATAGAGGCTTCCGGTTCATTTATAACTCTGTCTTCTCAATCTCTTTTAAAAGGGAAATATCAGGGATCAGTTTAGACCCCCAATATTTCCCCAGAGCCCCCTGCTAAAAATTTGTAAATATTTAATTAAAAAATATATAAAAATAAAATATAAAAAAAATACCCAGCGGGCGGATCGTAAGCTGTCTCCGATCCAGACCCCCAGGATGCCGCAGGCTGAATTTCCCATGAGATCGGGACTATCAGCCATTGCAGTTGCAAGCAGTGCAGACGGGGACAGCACGTGGCGGTCCATTCTTCCCCAGCTCACCACTAAATCTGATCTGGAGGACATGGCAGTAAAGATAGTGCAGGCTCTAAAGACAGGTGCACGAGATCAAGCAGCAAGTTATTTCCCTTGATGGCAGAGTCACCTCTGTGGAGGCCTCCACTTCTGACCTGGGGGCTCGGATGTCCCCCCTGGAAGCTGCCCACCTAGCCTCCCAGCAACGCCTGATGACCATGTTCCTACTACAGGACGACGCTGAGAACAGCAATTGCCGCAACAATGTTAGGCTGAAGGGCAATTCTGAGGCGACCACAGGCCCTGAGCTGCGCTCCACTGTCTCAGCCATACTCAATATGTACATTGACAAACCGCCAGGCGAGAATATGGAACTGGACCGTGTACTCAGAGTCCAATCGTTTAGGCCGCCGGCCTCGGATATACCCAGGGACATGCTCTGCAGAGTCCACTTTTTTTCAATCAAAGAGGAGATTATGAGGAAGGCTTGGATTAAAGGTCCCCTGGACTTTGATGGAGCTGCTATTAAGGTAATGCCAGACCTTTCCCGTCACACCCTGAGGATGCGCAGGATGCTGAAGCCACTCCTGGATGGGCTCTGCACCGCAGGTGCCACATACAGGTGGGGGCACCCTTTCCACGTTCTCATACAACACCGGGATCGTACCTTTGCCCTTCATTCGCCATCTCAAATGCCTGGCCTATTCAACTGGCTGGATATCGCTCCGATTGACCTCCCAGACTGGCAGGACTTTCCTACGGGTACCGTGGACATAGCTCCCCGTAGTCAACGAGCAGCTCACCCTTCCAGGAGCAGGCGCCGCTACTCCCTGTGTTCGTCCTCTGTACCTGCCGACGGGTCATGAACCTTAAGGTCTGCGCTCTAACAGTAAGGCGTTCTAGCCCAAAGTGAACTGCCACGATGTGCCATGCCATGCCCAAGCCTCACGCACTTCCAGGTATCTTGTTTACCCCTCCTGCACGTTGTCAATGTTTTGTACAGTTTTACAATAGCCTGAGTTACTGTTTTTAGGGGCTGGGTTTATAAGATTTAAGTTGTTTTAGCACACATAGCGATGTTAACCTGAGGGGTCCATATATTGCTGG